ATCTTCAAATCTATTTACATCTATTACACCTAAAAAGTTCCTAACCTTATCATCTGCTGCCCTGCTCTAATAATCACCAGAGTTTAAACGAAACCCACCTGGCCGGCTCGGTCTCCGCTCGCGCCGCGCCGCTGCGCCGCCGCCTCGCTGCTCCCCGCTGGTCTCTGCTCACGCCGCCTCCACCGCTTCCTGCGATGGCCTCTGGTCGCGCCGCCTCCACCGCTCCCAGTGCCGGCCTCCGCTCGCGACGCCTCCATCGCTCCCTGCCCCAACCTCTGCCCGAGCCGGATCAGATTGGGGCAAATCCGGCGCAACTGTACCTGGCGGGCGATCGACGAGCTGGCGCGTCAACTTCAGCTCCCGCCCCGGTTATGGTGGCGGCATGGTGGCGCACGCGGATTTAATTTGGGAGAGATGGGCGGGGTTGTTTCCGATTTATACGCGATGCCGGGGGCGCCGTGGTGGCCGTGAAGCGGTTACCGGCCATCGGGCGCGGCGCACGACAACTACGGCTTCTCGGCCGACGGACGGAGATACAGACGCTGGGTGCATCACGGCATCGGGCATCGCCACCCTGTTCCCCGACCAGGACCTCGCCGTCAGCCGGCTTGCTCTACGACGCTACGGCTTCTCGCTTTCCTGGCGGGACTACGGGCCGGTGTGTGCGGACGCGCGACGGGCTTTGGGATTATCGTCGGTAGTTGAACTCGCCAGGATGCGCGCCGGCCAGGTGGGTTTCTGGAAATTATTAGAGCGGGGCAGCAGACGAGAACTTTTTAGGCTGTAATAATAGAAGAATATATATCCGTTCTGTTAGCGTAATTGGGTGGCACGTGAAGCCACAGTTGTCTTGACTGTCAAAATACTGGGCTCGCATCTTAGAAATTCCATTCCCAGCCCATCACCATGATGGAAGCCCATGTAGCAACTGCCACAACCCTGATGTTTAAGCCTTAGACCCTGCAATAAGAAACGTCTAATTAATTAGCCTAAACCGAGTTGTCATTCATTTGACTTGTTCCACTTATAATACTTAACATCTTTAAAATTAAAACTTAATGTGTACATACATTACACTTTAAACTTGTCTAAAACGTAAAAATATATGGCATATATAAGGTTAAGTGTTTGTGTCTAGGAGGAGAATTCTTGTTCAGATTGCTCTACTTAGTTATGGCCTTGGACGTGCCACCCTGGACATTCACGGCCATTAATAAGATTCTAAGAGGTTCCTTTGGAAAGGAAGAAAAAAAAATGTGAGTAGTGGACATTGCTCTTTGATAGATGGTAAAGAGATTGCTGCTATGGCTTTACGAAATTGCAGAGAAGTTTGTTAGTTGAGGTCTCTTATTTAAGTATAGTAATTTTGAGTTGGCCCTTAGAATGTGATGGCTCTGGTTGCAGATAATAGAGTCTATGGGCAAGCATTTCCTATTCATGTCCTTGTTTTGTTTGGGGCTTTCTTTTCTATGGCAGTTATTTCAGAGGCTGTGAATCAGAAAAATATATTGTTCTACACTGTTGCGATGGATATAGTATAGCTTATGTCCGCCCCTCATTTATTCGCCATATTTTAGGACATTGTTGAGGTCATTATGTATATTATAAACTGGATTTCAGAGATTCGTGGCGCACTCATAGTGGCCATCATCTCTGAATATCTTAATCTCTGAGACCTCCGTTCGAGGTGGTGTTGCATCCTAATTCCTAAAGTTGAGAATCCTATGTTTGGCGTTATCTCCATAAATCAATTGGAGGGGAATAAGGGAGATTCTAAATCCCCCTCGATCCTCTCCAATCCCTTCCTCCAACTCTCTTGGATTGAAATCTAACCGAATAAGCCTTCGGAGAAGTACCTTGCTAATTCAATTTATGTGGGCGTACGCGTGCTTGGTGGTGCATGCGGTCCATGGCGAGAGGATTTAGAAAACTTGGGAGTGTCCGTGTACACCTACTCATCTACACGATTTCATCGTGTGAAAAAGAAAATGTGACTTATCATATACTTGGGAGTACATATCTGTGGAAGCTTCTTCGCAACAAATCCATAATTCCTCTCCCCCCGTCGAACCGAAGCGTTATCTAGGTCTAGCTGAGTTTGCACGAATATCCACATATATGTTCACGCCAACAAATTTATCTTGAGTTTTAGATAGATAGGACCTGTGCACCATAATGTCAATTTTCCACGCAAAAGCGCCCAATGCACCGGGCAAAAACAAAGTGGGGGTACTGTAGCTGCCTAATAGGCAGGTGCGGTACTACGGTGCATGCCATAGGCTGGTTGGTCGTGTACATGCCCTGTTCGCTTGATTTACTTTAGCAGTATTTTTTTACGAAAGAACAGTGTTTTTCTCTTACAATAAATCAGCATAAACATCAGCATAAGTCAAATTTTAGCAATACTCGCGTCTACATAGGATTCAACCGTGTGAAACTGAATATAGGAGACTTATCCAATTATGTATATATTAAAAAAACTCGACCCGCGAGGAAGATAGCCCCAGGCATTGTGTTTAAGAAAAAAGATATTCTCACGCAGGTCGAGAAAACCCTCGAACCTCTGTCCCACCCATACACACAGCAGCACCGCAACCACAGCTTCCGTGAAACTGGGCTGACCTTAGATCTGTGCTTTGGCATGGGGCAGATGAGAGAATTTTTTTCAACATTTTTTTGAACCAATGTATATCTATGGAAGTTTCTTCCAAATCCCAAAATCCTCTACCACGTGCAACCAAACATTAGTGAGCTGTCCCGTTAGGGATGCAAGGTGGGTGGTTGTCTTGTTGGCCACAAAAAATAGCTCTATGCAGGCCTAGCTGAGTGTGTACGAATATCCACATATCTGTTTACGTGAATGTTGCGTTTGAAAACAAATTAGGGACATGTGCTTTCCACGCAAAAGCTGAATCTAGAAATCATTCAAGTGAACTTAGAATTTTATTCTATTAAATCTCGAACATTATTCTTTTAGGACAGAATATTATTCTTTTCAACATTGAATATTATCCTCCTTACTGGAATATTATTCTTCTGAACTAGAAATTTATTTTTGCACTACATCGATCAGTCCTAAAATACATGTGTGATTCGAAAATTGTCCTAAAAACATTCAGCCTGTTCGGGAGGCCGTATCGTATCATGGATTATTTACTGCTGGCTAGTTTGGTGTGAGAGAAAAACACTGTTCCCGGCTGAAAATTTACGATCGTTTACGAGCAAGCGAACAGGCTGATTGATGTTCTAGGTTTTGGACATGCACTTTCTCTACGTGCTACCATGCTACTCACTTTAATTGAAAACCTAACCGTGGCATCCTCCTTTTAAAGAAATCTCGCGTAACAACCGGAATCATTTCTTTCTTCTTTTTTTGCGACTCGTTTTTTCCATTAATTCAGATGCATCAGGGTTACAATCCGCAGTCACCAGGCCATCGACACAGGAAGGGGCATACTGACACTCACCCAACCTAGTATCTCCTGAGACTTGCTTTATTAGAGTATAAGCTACTCGATTACAAGATTGCTAGCATATAACAATTTAAAATCAAAATAGTGCACAGTAACCGAAACATGTTGACGAACAGGTAGCTGACCTGACCAAGACCTGCTCCACGACGCCAAAGCCGGTGGTAGCTATGTAAAACCCAATTGAGATAATTTTTTTTTAAAAAAGACTCCACATAAAGGCTGTATTTCCTCCGTTTAAAGAAAATATAATTTTAGCTTTGAATTTAGACTAGCGTCATGCCCAAGTTCAAAGCTTGTGTGTGTTTTAGACGTAGTGAGTAACAACGTAACAACAGATGAAGTAGGCCCAGTGGGAAGTAAGGATGGCAACGGGGATATACCCGTCGGGTATCGCCAGAACGTTCTTTTCCCCACTACGAAGAATTCATCCCGTCCCCTCCCTGTCTCCGTCCCCGTTAACTGTCTCGGTATAGATTCTTGCCCATCCTCGTACCCGTCGGGCATTGGTCGGAGGTAACAGATACCCGACGGATACTGCATACCCGATAAACAAGGACACTTGGGGTCGTAGCTTTGCAATCGGAGACGTTTCTTCTTTACCCGGGTATAAGTGTCGAAGTCTCAGAGATGCCGAGGAGAAGGAGCGAGGTTACGAGGAGGACAAGCAAAGGTGGCAGAGAGACCGAACTGAGGAAGCGAGGGACACGAGCGCTCGTGAGGTAGGCGTGCTTGTGCTGCTGGCGGAGATGGTGAGAAAAAATTGAACTAGGGTTTCTAGAACACACAAACTATATATATGATTGTTCATATTTGGGCCAAAATACCTATGTTAAGCTTCTTTGGGCATAATACTCGTATGACAGCTCAAATAGTCGGGTTCCCCAACGGGTAACGGGGACGGGTAAACATGGAACGTTCCCGTACCCGCTATACCCATCGGGTATGGATTCTTACTCATTTAGATGCCCGCGGATAAAGATATGATCCCATCATCATCTCCTAATGGATCAAATACCCGTCGGGTATCGGGGTCCATTGCCATCTTTAGTGGGAAGCGTAACACGGCCCGGCCCCTGATTCCTCGGCCGCGTTCGGCTGGTTGGTGGCAGGCCGGCCAGCTGGCCAGCGCACTCACGTGTTCACTGTTCACGTGAACAGTGATTTCAGACACAATAATATTTTTCTCTACAACAATCAATCGAAAACAATATTTTGATTTATTTTTCAGTCCTGCCGGCCCCTCGTCTCCCGCATCCAACCGAAATATCTCTACTCTCTAGTCCCCCTCCCTATCTCGTCTCCCCCGTCCAACCGAAACATCGTTTATTCGTTTCCTTCCTCTCTCTCGCGTCTCGCCCGCCCGCCCGCATCCCGCCCCGAAATATCTCCTCTCAGCCGCCGACGCAAGCCCTAGACATGCGCCGCTCGGTTTGACAACCAACCAGCAACCAAGCGAGCAAGAATCAAGAACCAAGAGGCAGGCACAGCCGATGCTTCTGGGCCTGGTCCGCCCCGCCGCCGCCCCGCATGCGCACGCAACAACCTCACGCCTCGCAGCGCGATGTCCCCGCCGGCGACCTCTCGGACTGCGATGGGACGGCCGGCGCCGGCTTCCCCGGCCGTGGGCTGTGCTGCCCCGACGACCCGCTCGACCTCGTCCTCCAGCTCTTCCCCGCGGACCGAGCGCCGCCGTCGTCGCTGGCGGCGCTCGGGATAGGCACCGCCGGCGGCGAGCCGCCCTGTCGGGTGAAGCAGGAGCCGGAGTCGCCGAAGCCGCTGGCGGAGAGCGCGTATGGCGGCGTCGGCGTCGGTGGCGGGTGGGATTCTTGGGGCTTGTCCAGCTTCGTTCTTGACGGACTCTGCGGCCTTGAGGAAATTGATGTGGACATGTTCTTTGCTGACGACGCGCTGGACTGCGGCGACGGCGGCGGCGGCGAGAAGACTGAGGGCAACTTGCTCTGCGACCTGACGGAAGCCAAGCCCAAGCCGCCGGCGCACATGACAGCTGCTGCTGGTGGTCCCGCTCCCGTTCACACGCGCGGCTCGTTGGGCGGCGCTGTCGTCCCCAATGACGCGTCACCGTTGCCCGCGCCAATGCCAGCTGGCGCTTTCCCCTTCCAAGCGTACGACGCGTGCCGTGCGTTCGATGGCGCCGTTTTCAACAACGCGTTCGCGGCGCCGGCGGCGGCGCCCAATGCCAGCTGGTGGTCCGCCGCCCGTCTTTGTCACCAACAACAGCACGCCGCCATTGCCGGCGCTCATCATGCCAGCTGCTCCCGCGCGCATGCCGCCAGCTGCTGGTCTTCACGCGTGCGGCGCGTTGCCCGGCATTGTCTCTAACGGCGCGCCTGCACCGCCGCCGCCACTGATGGCGCTCATGCCAGCACGCGCTCTCCACCCGAACGCCGCCGCGCTGGCCGGCGTTTACTCCAGCACCAACGCGCCGGCGCACACGCCTGCCCCTCCGTCAGCCACACCATCGTCGTCGCCACCGTCCCGCGCGTCTTCAGGTTCTGGCCGCTGCCCGTCATCAGCAACCTCGGAGACCGAGTTCTTGCAACCCCATCATGCCTGGGTTGTGCCGAGGAAGCAGCGGAGCCCACCAGCAGTCAACCGCCGCAAGCGGCCCTGGCTGCTCGACTTCCCTCTCCACGCCTTGCCGCCGGTCGCTCTTCCTCCTCCGGCTAATCCCGGCGCCGGCGGTGATGACGACGATGCCAAGAACCGGTACGCCTTGGTGCCTGTCGTTCCTCCTCCTCTGGGCAACACCGGTGGTGATGACATTGCCGGTGGCGGCGGTGGTATCCGCCGGCGCCGCCCCGCGCCACGTCAGAGGAACAGGCAAGCGCAGAGGGTATGCAGCCACTGCCACTCGCCGGAGACGCCGCAGTGGCGCGCGGGCCCGGACGGGCCAGGCACGCTGTGCAACGCGTGTGGGATACGCTACGCAGCGAACAGGCTGCTCCCGGAGTACCGGCCGTCGACGGCTCCTAGCTTCCGGAGCGGGCAGCACTCCAATCGCCACCGGAAGGTCATGAAGCTCAGGGAGCAGATGATGAAGGCGAAGGAGGAGAAACCGTCGGAACAACAACGGATGGAAGATGGTCTGGAAAAAGATGATGGGTTCATGGGTGTGTGCACGTACATATCAGCAGCAGGCTTGTGACGACAGTGACACCCCGCTCAGGTTAATTGTAGCTAGTAGGCCACTATTAGGTTTAGGTTTGATTCTTTGGTTTCGTTAATCGTTACTTAGAGATGATGCTAGTAGTGTAGTACCAACTAGTGATGTATTGATCACTCATCCATGGATATCCATAGATGTTAGCTAGCTAGGCCATGCAAGATTTTTGTAAATTCTTGGCTTCGATTTATTCATTAGTTGGTTAAGAACTCGTTCTGTAAATATATCAATCAAATCAAGATTCAAGGGTCATATCTCGGGTCAATAGTGATCTTTTTGGGTGACTCATGTTTCGTGCATTTTCTGTATCTTTTTCAGACGATATATAAGCATGGTCATCTCTGTAACTGTATGATTTCAGGGTTTCTAACTTTTATATATGGCTAGCTGGTTAAACTGAGATCATCTTGGTCAGCACTGGTTGTTTCTAATGGTTCCCCACGAATTGCTTCATTCTGTCGCTGCACACTGGGAGAGGTTGATAGCAGTTGTGAGCACCGACATGAGCTCTTGCTCGCACGGTGTCACTAGCGACGGTAGGTGCGAGCGAGAGACAGGAGAGGCACAAGGGAGAGTCCGTGACCAAACCAACTAAGCCACATAATAGCAACTAACTAATTAAGCTTGACTCTAAATAGATTTGGGCTATGGGCCATGGGCCATGCGTCATCACCTCGATTCGCCCGATGTGCATGACCTGGCGCACCAAACCGCTACCTTGTCATGCCTCGTCGAATACTAGATACCATGGTCATTGGTTGGTTGATATCTTTTACCTTAACAGCTAGCAATGCACTAGGAGCGGTGACAGAAATGGTAGGTGGTGACAATGGCCTAGCAACGACCTGAGCTCTTGACCTAGCGCTAGCCTAAGCTCTTGCCAACATGGTGTCAATGACAGGTGCGAGCACGAGACAAGCAGGGCCGTCCCTGGGGGCGTGCAGCCTGTGCGACCGCGCAAGGCCTCCAAATCCCATAGGCCTTACCCATATAGCTAAGCAGTAAGCACAGTAGCGTTGGCCCAATAGCAACATCGCCATTAGCAAGCCTATTAACCTAATAGAAAATGATTTACTGACCGCCGGACGGACGTTGTTTTGTCTCCAGATTGCTGCGATCCCAATTCCTAGACCTATACTCGACGTCTCCTATCGCCCTGACGCCCTATCGGCCGCGTATCGCGTCGAGCGTGATGAACTGACCTGATAGCGGCGAGGCACCCAGACCCAGGCGAGGCAAGGCGCTGAGGCCCTAAAGGTAATACTAATCATTTGTATTTTTTTTCAATTCATTCACAATCACAGCAAACTATAGCGAGTAGTGGGTCGATCTCTAAATTTTGTTCTTTTGATCTTTCCATCTAGACGCCTACTGCAATTGTGTTCAAATATTGAAGCCATGTCTTCTATAAATCGGTCTAGAAAATTTGAATCAGGTTAGGAAAAGCGTAAGAAAAAACAAAGAATAGAGGATTTAATCAAATCTCAAAAAAATTCAAAGAACACTAAAAGAATGATGCTATTCAAGTAAAGATTATGCAATATAGGTACCATTCTTGACATAACTTATTGCAATGTAATATATTATATCATACATCTTATTTTAGTCCTATTTTTTCTCAAGCTAGTAGGCCTCATTTTTTAATTTCGTACAAGGCCTTGGATTTCCGTGGACGGCCCTGAGACAAGAGAGGCATGAGGGAGAGTCCTTGACCAAACCAACTAAGCCACGTAATAGCGACTAACTAAGCTTGACTCTAGATAGACTCGGGCTATGGGCCGTAAGTGGTTACCGTGGTTCGCCCGACCATGTGTGACTTGACGTGCCTAACCTGCCCTGTCGTGCCTCGTCTGTGCAAACATCGTCGCATTCTATACACCATGGTCGTTGGTTGTTTACATCACCGTCCTATGGTGTCATGATCATGGATCGTCACTGGTTAAAGGTTTCTGTCACAAATATTTACACGGATAGGGTGGAAAACTAGTATGCTACTGCTACTATGCTCCCAATACTCTCGAAGAGCTTGAACCCTTTGATTTTTTTGTTGATAAAACACTCAAAAGAGTGTTTCATATTGGATATATCTAAAAAAACATACAAACCAATTAAATGATTAAAGTAATCGAGTAACAAAAATACCATCCAGCTATCTCGGGCTGTGATCATTGCCCTCCTTTTCTCTGTCTTATTTGCCTGGTATCTGACTGACCCCGATCTGCGCCGTGCCTAGCGAAGCAGCGAGCTAAGCCCAGTACCAGTTGGAAAACATACGTGACAGTGTGACGTGTAACAGCCATTTATGCATGTTGGAAAGTTGTTAGGAAGACCGTAGCCATGATAATGGTCAATTAATTGACTAGTTCATGATTGAATGGCTTCATACGTGACGTATCTGTAGCTTACACTTCATTATTCCCATATCATAATTACTACTCTTTTCGTTTTAAATTATAAGTCGCTTTAACCTTTTGGTATATTTATTTTTACTATGTATCTAGACATACGTTATATCTAGATACATAACAAAATCGATGTACCAAAAAGGTCACAGCGACTTATAACTTGAAAAGAGGAAGTACTAGACAGTAGTGAAATAGTAAGAACACACACCGAGTCCTATTTACTTGTCAGGCTTCATCAAATAGGAATGTTAGATCATTCATTTATATTAGATAGATTTAATAGGAAGATATTTCTTATTTATTAATAGGAAGATATTCCTTATTTATTCTATATTTTTATATTACCTCCTATGAGGTAATATGTGATAATTAACATCTAGCAGCATGTTCGCTTGCTCGTATACGATCGTGGATTATAAGCTAGAACAATATTTTTCTCCCACACCAAACCAGCCAGCAGTAAATAATCCACGATCGTTTACGGCCTGCCGAACAGGCTGTAGATCAGTCCGCAGTCGTTTAGCTATACCATAGCAAAGATTTAAAGAAACATCAACACTAGCTTAACCAACGTACATATCGAGCATTACATCCGTAGAGAAGAAACGTAGATGGAGATAGGCGGAATGGAACCGTTACGCTCCCCTCCTCCGCCCCCGCCCCCGCCCCCGTACGCCGCCCACCAACCCAGATCCGCCGCCGGCGGCCGCGGCCCCCGGTCCCCACGCGTTTCTGCGCGCTCCCCTCCACGCGGCCGTCCTCCCCATCCCGCTCGCGTCGCTCGCGGTGGCTCATGGCCACCGATCGAGCACGTCTCCCACCACTGCTCACCCCGTGCGTCGCATCCCCGCCGCCCGGTCCCCGGCGCACCTGCCGCTGCGCCCACTTCACCCGCTGCGGCTCGCGGCGCATCCAATGTCCCCACCCCGAGGCCAGACCTCTGCCTTGGCGCCACCACCGCCGCGTCCGCTGCCGTTGCTGCCGAATCGGAAAAGACAGGAGACACATCATCCAGACGCGTCAAGTTCGCCTCTCCCCTATGCTACCGGCCGGTGAGGCATTACTTCTCCGCCAGCGCTACGCCTACCAAATCTTGCCTCAGATCCGCTGGGGAGAGGCGCAACGCTCTTTCCGCCGGCTGTTCATCTCCACCGCTCCGGTCTCCGCCCGGCTTTGAAGGGGTTTTCCTTTCCCGAGGGGGGAGACCCAGGACTGCCACCGGGGCGTGGCAGAGGGCCGGTGAGGCGCATTCACGCGAAGATGAGGATGGCTGGTCAATGGTGCGCCCGAGATACTGGTGGCGTCTCCCCGAGTTCAAGACCACGGCGCATTCAACACCCTCAACCACCCAGGTCAAATCGGGCGCGCCATCACCTCGGCCGAGGAACTGCAGCCGGCGCTGAGAGGTAAATGCTTCACGCTTTCCTCTCCCCCACAGCCACGCCATGTGGTGAACTACAGGGACCCAGCAGCCGCTTCTCCTGTGGCCACTGGGGACATAAAAGCAATGTGTGCTCTGGAAGATCTCCATCCGCCAGGCATCAACCCACCCCGCCCAAGGCTACTCCTCCTCCTCTCGACGACACAAACTTCCCACCTCTGCAAGTGCGCGGCATGGCCAGGACCGAGGAGCCCTCTGTTCATCCCCTAGACACCTGTGTCGTGGCCTTCTCTGTCGACAATATGGACCAGGAGCTCGATCTCCTCTCCATGCATGGCATGGTGGCCTGGCTGGGGGGGAACCGGCCGGTGGTGGAGCCGGAGCTCATCAAGAGGGCCATCTGCCACCAGTTTTTGGTTCGTCCGGAAGATGTCACCGTCGTCAGGCACGCGTCCGAGGACTTCTTCATCGACTTCAAGCACCGCCACCACCGCGACGAAGCGGTGACACGGGGGACCTTCCCCTATCACAACCTCGACATCCACACAAGGCCATGGCAGCTGGTGACACACGGCGACATCGATGACCTCAAGTTCTGCGTCCGCCTTTGCCTCGAGGGCATCCCCCTCCACGCCTGGAACGAGAGCATCGCCAAGAGGGCAATCACCAGGGCTTGCGACCTCGGCTACGTCAAGAAGTCCTCGCTAGACCATGCCAACACACGGGCACTCTATGTCTGGGCGTGGACACACAACCCGTCCGACATCCTAAAGGTAACCTGGCTGACTTTGTCATGCAGGAAGGCAGAGGCCCACAGTTCACAGGATGCTCGCGGCCACCGGGGACTCACCTTCAGGGTGCTGGTGCACCTTGACCTAGTGGAGGACCCTCCTGGCAGAGACGGCCGTGCTGCTGCTCCCCGAGTCTACACATGGGACTATAGGATCGTGGATGGAGAAAGGATGCCGCGTGACCGCCACGACCCTCCACCGGTTGACACCCATGCCAGCCACCGCGACGACGACAGCGACCGTCGTGGATGCCGTGAACGCCAGGGAGACAAATGGTATTCGTGGCTCACCCGCAGCCTTTCGCGGGTGCCCAAGGACCGCGAGCGGGAGCGCTCGGTGTCCAGGCATGGTGGCCGTCGACGCCACAGCCCGGAACGTGGGGGCCACCGACGCCCACTGCACGAC